ATACTCGATTACCTTTAAAAAAAAATAATTCATGCTCAAGTTTGTAATTTCAGTTGATTGATGGTTACTTTAATTAAGAGGACCTTGGAGAGTTGCACCTATGATTTATGAAACAGATGAGGAGAGAGTTTTTGTAGGTCTGCACGCTAAAGAAGTGTCTTTTCTCTGGATCGTTTTTCACGTTCACGGGTCTTGTCTTCCAATTTTATGACCACGGCATATTGAACTTGATTTGGTTGCAGATTCAAACCATGCAACAGGCTAAAAAGCCTGGTGTGATCATTAATCTTGGCTCTGCGTCGGGGCTCTACCCAATGTATGCTGATCCTATCTACTCTGCCTCCAAAGGTTTGTAGTTATCTATACATTGTTTTCTCAGTTCTTCCCAAATATAATTGATCTACAATATGTTTCTGGTCTGACGAAGATAAAAAATTTCACAGGAGGTGTGGTTATGTTCACCAGATCCCTCGCTCTTTACAAGCGTCAAGGGATCCGTATCAATGTGCTTTGCCCTGAGGTAAACTCTATTTAATTTTTCTAATGGCACATCTGAGATGCACAGCAGTAATGGGCTGAGATATTAGACACCTCATTGATGTAAGAGGTTGGACATGAACCACTGTGTCGGGGTTTGAATACCTCCTTGCCCTCCAACTGCCCAAAAGGAAAGTACCATTCAATGCGATTTAATCTCTATCTCTACGTTGACCAACAAATAGAGTCCCAGAGTTGCTCCAAAGGGTAGATAGATACATTTTGTAACATAGTGTGGAACAGAAATGGTTCTCAGCACTGTTAGTCTTAGGAGCTCGAGAATGAGTTGTCTATTGTACTTGACTTGGAGAAGAGTTAGGACAAGGGATTATCTGAGAAGAAACCTCTCCTTATTTGGGAATGGAGACTGGATGAAGGACTAAAAGTCCGTTAGCTGCCTTAAGGCTTACCATCCCTGTACATGCGGCACTCTCTTCTTTCATAATAAAAATAATGAAAATACCCCGCATCGGTCATATTGTTGTAAGGAGCAGTAGTTACTTGTCATCCCCAATTAGCGAGATGGTTTTTGCTTTGTGAACCGACCTGTAGTTATCTACTCTTAAAATATTAAAGAGGAGGTCTTGATACAACTGCACCTCTAGCATTTTAGAGATGTTACTTATTTATTGTATCCAGATCTTCAAGCGGGTCATTACTTTTAATCCTGTTCATTCATCAAGAGCTGCATACTGCTAACGGTTAGGGAACTTGATTTTTCCTAATAACTGCAAATGCCTTTTTTCTCTCTCTCCGTTTAACTCCTTTATTCACTTTTCTTAATATGTACTGCTACATTTGGACTTACTCTCTCATCACCAATATATTTTGCTTCAATTCTCAATTATAATAACCATGAGTCAACATACTTTCTTGCCTCAATTCGCATTCCCAGTTTTTTCGATCTCAAAATTTATGGCAACGCTACTTCCTCAGCAACCAGCTGTCCGACTCTTTGGCAACAAGCAACTGAACCCCTTAAAATAAGCAACTGCTCTGAATCCACTGCAAATTTCTTCCGAGTGCAGTTTCCTACGAAGAAAGGGAAAGGAATGAAAGCACCACCACCTTAAAGAAACCAGCTATTATAAAAAAATCAGGATGGCACCATCATCGATGGCCAAAGCCTGAGGCCAAAATGGATCATTGTCGCCACCCCCCAGAACCTTTAGGGAAAAGACTGCCACAAGGAAAGCCAATATCACAAATCGCCCCAAACAACAACCACCTTGACAACCCCTCAAAATCACCGGAACTACGACCATTTCCTCTTCCCCCACTATGACCAGCCATTTGCATTAATGAATCTGAAATTAGAAGAATGGGAAAAAGGACCAGAATATGTCCCTCACTCCGATGACCCAAAATCATTATGATCATTTAGAAGTCAAAAGTTTCCATCAACTATCACTACATATAACCCAAAGCTTCTCAGAGTACACTTACCATTACTGAAAAAGCACCTCAAATCAATTGGTTAATCTGATGTATTTAGTAGGAGAAGAGGTGTAGTTATTGGTTTTGAAGGTCAGCTTGTGAGCAAGGTTGTTAATTTTAGGTTGGATGTGTTTTATTGCAACATTAGCCAACGGAATGGCTGTGATCTAAGAGGTTGAAACGATAGTGCTTGTACTAATGGGAGACTGGCCAGGTTAGCATGAAACTTGGCAAGGATGAGGCTTTTTTTGGTGGGGGGGTGGAACGTGTGTTATTCAATTTCAGACAGAGGGACTATAGCTTTATCATCAATTAATATCGGGCTCATTCTTTAGCATGATGCTTTTCCGTACTACGTGGTAACATAAAGAATTTTTAGCTTTTTTATTGAGATTTCTTAGAGATGGTGTTAGCAAGTTGCAAGCAGTTTTATAAATGCATGTTTGGGAAGCATTATAATTTAGTAGTCAAGTCAAACATTAATTTTAACCATACATTTTTTAAGACTCACAACTAATACCAACTTATCCGTCACTCATTTTTGTCATATTATAATTTCAGCAACTTAGAATTTTATAAAGCACATGAAGCTTTTTCATCATTGGTGGCAAAAAAAATACCAATTAAGATTTCTAATATTTTCTATAAAAATGATTATTCTCTCTTCTGCTTGCAGTTTGTGCAAACTGATTTGGCCTCAAAACTGGATCCTAAATTTATTGATCTAGTTGGAGGCTTCTTGCCAGTGGAAATGGTAGTGAAAGGTAAGTAACAAAACTTCACCCTACATATCATAGAATTTCGTTGATATATGGGAAGTGTATGTAATACCATCATGCGTGTCAAGGATATACTGTTCATTATTGCATTTATGAAATCAGTTGAAGAATTAATCTGTCATTATACTTTACCCTTTTCGGTTATTGTATTGCAACCTCTGTTTTTAGCTGTGAGTTTGTAATTGTCAAATATTCAGGTGCTTTTGAGCTTATAAGTGATGAGACTAAAGCCGGGTCTTGCTTGTGGATATCTAAGCGAAGGGGCTTAGAGTATTGGCCAACTCCTGCAGAAGAAGCAAAATACCGTGTGCGCCCTTTAACATCTAGGAGAAAGTCTTCATTTATGTCTCCATTGAGTACTCAAATACCCCAAAGTTTTGAGAAGATGTAAGAAGCCATAAATTCAATTGCTTGCATTAAAAAGAGTGGAAGTAGTCTATTTCATCTTCTTATGTTTCCTCGACTTTGAAATACAACCATTTTGTGGGCACAAGAAGGCATTGGTCACTCATTATGAATTGTGCAATGATCTAGAGGAAGAGTTAAAATTTTGATATTTATATGTTAAGAGTCTTTATATGCTAGAAACTGAGCACTGAAATCCACACAAAAGTAGCTTATTTAACTTGTTTGTGGAAGAATTCATGGAAGGAACAAAGCAATTTTTTCAACTACTTCCTCTTTCATTATGGTAGTACTGTGATGATTATGTTTCAGCTCATTTTTTTCTTTCAAAATAATTTGTGGATTTTTGGCCTCTACATTGATGTTTCTTCTAATTATTTGTCAGAATGTGACCAAATAGTACATAATAGTTTTTCATTTTGTTGCAGACATACTCTTGATTAAATAAATTTTATATTATCGAGTTCTTTCAGTTTTCTTTGCGGAAAGAATATTTTTCTTAACTTTTGGCAGCTTTTGTTGAGATCTTTGTGGCTCTAGTGTAAAAATTGCTCTGCAGAGATGCTCTTGAACTCATGTATAACCGTATTTAAGCATGTGACTACAATTTCACGTAAATCACTGTTGCAATTATTTAGCTCCTCTTGTATGTTTACCAAAATCATTTATTGATTATTTTTTAACGAGTTTTTTTTTTTGCTTGTTCTCTAGAGTTGTCCACACATTGAATCATGATTTCCGTAGGGCTACCAGTGTAATAAGTGCTCCATTGAGATTTCCCCTCAAACCTGATCATGTGCTTTTGAAAGTAATTTATGCCGGTGTTAATGCTAGTGATGTAAGTTCGTTACTCTTACAATTTGATTTTTGTGTCTATAAGTTTTATGTGATCAAATAGATGTCCTAAAGTTTGGTATCCTATATTTTGAAAAAAGGAAAAAAAAGAAATAACAAGCCTTTCCCTATGCGGTGCATGTACATTGCACAACATAGGTACATTGTAAATTATAATATATCTAGGAATATTTAGATTTAAGGCTCTCCCAATGTAGTTACAGTTTGCTACTTGCACATTTATTATTTTTTGGTGTTGGCTGGCTCTATTGGGTTAAACCTGATTAGCGTAAGGAATATTATCTGGAATAAACTTACCTGGTGTACATATATATCATGATGAGGAGCCTCTTTACATGTGCGCTAACGGAGAGAATTTCATGACAGGTGAATTTTAGCTCAGGACGGTACTTTAGTGGAGACAAAAAGGACATCAAATCCCGTCTTCCATTTGATGCTGGCTTTGAGGTAAGAAAAAAACTTAAGTTTTAGCTTAATTTGAGACTTAGATTGGTGTACTTAAACAACGTTTATTTTACGCTTTTACAATCAGCATTGATCCTCTGAAAGTGTCCCTACCAGTAATTCCTCATGCTCCTTCCAACTCTTATTACTTTAATTGCATTCAAATTGCCATTCATTGTTAAGATATATGGAATGCTAAAATGTCATACTTTAACTTTAATAATGTAACTGCTCCTCTTTTGAAATAAATGACTTGCTTCATATTGTTTCTTCTTGTGCACTTCCCTAAACTAGAGCCTTTTACCTTTCTCCTTCTCCTGGAATGAAATAATGAACTGCGTGTTTGTACTTACCCAATACACGTTGAAGCTTTATAACTTTGACATAAAGTTAAATCATGTTGTTTCTAGCTTGTTACTAGTTCCATTCCGAATTGACGTCTCCATCATGGTATCAGTGTCATCTTTGCAAAGGTTTTGCATCAAGCACTGTAATATGTGTTAATCCTAGATGACAGGTTTAATCGGGGGGGAGGGGAGGGGGTTGAATACATTAAAAAACTATTCTTATTTTTAGAATTATTGTTTTCTGCTGCTTGCTTATTCAAAACCTATTTGTTTCTTCTTTAAAAATCTTCGTTGTATGNNNCTTCTTTAAAAATCTTCGTTGTATGAATGAATCAATAAATATGAAGTTGCAGAAAGTAAAGAGATGGTAAGAGAGCGCCAGATTTATGACGGTTCAACTCATGAGTCTACATTCATTTCTGAAGTCTTCCTTTTAGTATTTCACCAGTTCAGCAACAACACTCTCCCGTTTCTTTTCATTGGCTCAGATACCTACTTATAACAGCAGTACTACAACTTGAATCTATGGAAGAGGCAAGCTTAGATATTCACAGTGATTTGAGAATCACTGAGCAAGAAGAAAAATATTCTTTGCAGATTACTCTCAGAGGGTTTCTTTTCAAAAGACTGATTTTAACACTTTACAACTTAAATAATATTGTGTCCTTTCATTTTAAAGATCTTGTGATTAGATTTCTTCAGAAGAATTTAGGTTTATTATCTATTATAGACTAGCAGCTTGAGTAGCTTTCAAGATAGGAACAATACTTATGGACTTTCTGATGGCGAGTGATGAAAAACAATAATAACAAAGAAGAAAGTGTCTGCAGGAAGTCTTCTTTGGTTGCCTGTTGTTGCACAATGTCCATTGGACTTCTAAGGAAAATTTGTTTGTCGTCTGATTCCTCCAATAGCTTGATCTGGATCTGTGATTCTGATAATATCCCTGAACGTATGAAGTATTCAAATACTTTAATAATGTCTGAATCATCAAGAATGGATATTTGAAATTCACATCCCTATACGACCATTATATGTCTGGTCTTTCGGTTTTTCCTCTTCAGATATATGATCCAAATTATCATTCATATGACCTTTTCAAAATTCACATCAAGTGTATTATACAAAGCCGTACGTATGGTCTCTTAAACATAGCACACTTGGTGAATGCAAATCAACTTCCAGACTTGTGACCTTTGTGTTTTTCTACGTTGCACATATGATACAACTTCATCGTATGTATGGACCTTATGTTTTTTCTGTGTCATACATATAACTTTTTTAGCCATTCTACTTCATACGAGTGATACATCCTCCTCACATGTATCTCTCATACCTTCCACTTCAATCGTATGATTGAAGGCATGAGACATATGATGCTCCTGTATCTTCCTTCAGACTCGTTATCTCCTTGAATCTAACTTTTGCGTGTGGTTAAAAATTGTTTAGTGATATGATCTTCCATAAAACTCTTTTGAACATCACTTAAATATCTGAACTTTTTATCCCAAATTTTATGATCCATCTTTTGTTGGAAGATTATTGCATGACTTTGTATGTGCATTGCACTCAATCAAACTTATCACTAACATCTTGCATGTTGGTTATCATCAGACTAAGAAGTTAGTATGTTAAATGTATAGGATATTGTTTTTTATTTTAAATATTTGTAGAAAATCGTGTATAATGGAAAGATATAAAA